TGCTCTCCTTCATTACATTTTATTCATTATGAGCACATACAGTCAGCTGCAACTCATCTCGCAAGGTAAAACGCGTTAAAATCATTAGTGATGCCATTTTTTTTTGGTGCAAAAGCTCGGCTGCAGTAAAAGATGCACGCTACCATAATCCTAAATTTGTACGTGAATCAAGGCACATCGTTGTTGGGGAATCCCGACAGAGGGAGGGGTCGTATTTGGCCGCCAGGAGAGGGGGGTCGTATTTGGGCTGAGAAAAATTTATTTTGATAGTTGATTTTTCTCGCTTCACGGACGTTGTAAAAGGGGGGTCGTACTTGCTCATTGTTGGGAGGGGGGGGGGGTCGTATTTACTTTTTGGCGTACTTTTTACTTCTTTTCTAGGAGTGGTGGTTGACTTTTCGTGATTTTCCTGTTTCATGCGTACTATATACCAGAACCCCTGCGCTCCACGCAGGGCACATCGTTGGTTGGGGAATCCCCAACAGGGGGGGGGGGGTCGTAATGAGTGCGGTAGCCAGTAACGAGCAGCGCAAAGGTGTCAGTGTGCTGAGTCCTGTACAGCGAAACTTGCTTTGTAGAGAACTCGGATATGTAAAAAAAATAGTACAAAACTTTCATTCATCAAACTAATCCGAAATAACTGGAAATATTAATAAGTCGACATCGTAAGTGACTAAACAGTACAACTCATACTCTGGTTCGCTGCGGATGATGGGGCGTGTCCGCGATCGCGCTTGGCGCTGAGCCAACCTGTTTTTTTTCGACAAACGACAGGACTACCATATCGTTCGTATCAGACGTTTTCCAGCAGTTGGTCTCCTATCGGAATCAGCAATTGGCGGAGCACGAATCTGGCGGCGTCGACAGGGACACGCTCCATCATACGCAACGGAAAACACTGTAAACAAGTGCACAGGTTCGCCATGGACCTCCCTGAATCCTATAGACACATTTGCTCGCGTGGACAGACATTACGCACAAGTTGCACCATCCCATCACCTCTGCGCGGACCTCAGTGCGCGGCGCATCCAAAGTTAGCATGATTGGCGCTAAACAAACCACATCCTGCTCCTGCTCCACCACAGGATACGTTCTACATGTATTTCTGGCTATTCGAACACGCTCGCTTGAAACCGTACACAGAAAACGGACTTTCGAACAGTTCGGAGTGTTCCCCAAATAATCCCCAACGCAATTATCTCATGACTCCCGGAAGCTTCAAAAAACGTTCAAGTAGTTTTTGGAAAGAGCAAATCTTCTAGAACTCGATAGTAGTTTCAGATTCCCAAACTATTGAGGTTCAAGGGAAATATCTTGGTTCAAACCTGTAAAACTCGCGCTGCAAACTATCCAAAAAACTCCCTAAAAACTCCCCAACGCAAATTTCTCTATGAATTTGGCGACCTTTATGAACATGTCAGTATGCTTTGGATAGATAAAATCTTTCTCTATACGACTGCGTTCTTCTCTTTCCCACAGGTCCGCTATTAAGGAAGTTATGGCCCTTTAAAGACACCCTACTTTCCTGAAAATCCGCGCTCCAATCAAACCACCTGCAACCACCTTGCGGCTGGGGTCCTGCCCAGAATCCCTCCCCCGGTACCTCGGCCTTTAATCAGCTGATTGCGGCTGGTTTGCTCTCGTTCGTATTTACTCTTTCGTATTTATCTTCTTCTCGGTTTATTCGAATATCGAATATTTATCTTCTTCTAGTTTACTCGAATACACGAAACACAGATACAGAGCGCTTGGACCGCTCAGAGTGCTCTTAGGAGGAATTGGCTTAATTTCCTGTTTTTTTTTCTTTTAATTGCAATTGATTCAGGTACCAGAGTTTGTTTTGACTCGAGGAAAGGTGGGTGAAACCTAATGGCCTTTCTTTTCTATTCTCTTTTCTGAATCAGGATAGAAATGAGCAAAAAGCGAGGGGGGCCTCGTTCAGGATTGTTACTTTTTCCATTTTTCGCGCTTACTTATACATAAACTTATGAAGTTTCTTCCTCCTCGGGGGGGGGGGGGGGAAGAAACTTCATAAGTTTATGTATAGGGGGGGGGTCGTACGGGCTTCACCAAAATCCCCAACCAATGATGTGCTCTGACGAGGATTTCTTGAAAGTTTCTTTTTGTTACGTGTTTCCCACCGGTTTTTTTTTGTTGTTTTCTCTTTTCTTTGCACTGGATAATGTTTACCACTGGGAGATGCAGAAAAGCGATTCGTGAGCCAGGAATTGCACAGAGACCGCAGGGCGGTGTGACTGTCAGGGTGCGATTTTGTTTATAGTGTTCTTCTTGTTTTTTTTTGTCTTAGGGGAAATTACTTGTCAGCTTTTGGTTCATAATTGAAGCAGCAACTATCCATGGCACTTGATCGCGGGATTTCTCTTTCAGGTTCTGATCCAAAATTTGAAAAGCGAGGCAGTGTAGGGTGATCACTGCCATGTCTTCATTCAATGAGATAGGTTATCAAGGAATGGATCGGCGTCACGGGCAGGGCACATCGTTGTTGGGGAATCCCCAATAGGGGGGGGGGGTCGTATTTGGCCGCCAGGAGAGGGGGGTCGTATTTGGGCTGGGAAAATTTATTTTGATAGTTGATTTTTCTCGCTTCATGGACGTTGTAAATGCGTACTCCCCCCGTCGACAGCAAAATTTTTTTAAAAAGTAAGGAAGTTGTCGAGAAATTCTGGAAAAAAGGAAAAAAGGGCAGAGAGTTGGGGAAAATCTGAAAATTGGTAGAGGGGGGCCGTATTATCTCGCGTTTTTTTCCACATGTGCTATTTACGCCCCCCCCCCCCCTCGCTCGACGGCTTCGATTCGAGATGAGGAAGGACAGAAGAGGGCTGGAGGGGGGGGGGTCGCACCAACTTCCAAAAAGGGGAGGGGGTCGTACAGACTCGACTAAATCCCCAACCAATGATGTGCTCTGATCGCGAGCGTTATCGGGTTCAGAGTTCAGTCCTCTTGATTTGAGACCACGGTAGGGGGGGGGGGGTGGTGGTATTTTTCTGCTAGCTAGGGAGGGAGTGGTAAGCACAAAGTTCAGCGCTGGAGAATGTCAAAGATGGAAGACATTGAAGTTTTGGATTAGTAGCGACCGAATAAGATTGGAGAGGATAGGCAGGGGTCGATGACTGACATGAAGCGGGCGTTCCGCATCAGGCGAATGACTCTGTTGGATAGAAAGGGTTGAATAAGTCCATAGGTGAGAGGAAAACCAGGCATGAACGGGTATTTTAGCTCAACGAGAGAAAGAGCACACGACGAAGCCACACCGTGTTGTAGGAGATGTCTGGTATTGCATAGTTGCGACACTGAGCCAGTTTGGCCTTTCACAGTTACAACGAAGTCGTAAAGATGTCCAAATGAAGTTCGCCACCAAGTTTTACCCTGCTAACTACTTCGCCTCTTCAACGAAACAACACAAATATGGATGCATGACCTTTCTCCATGTCAGGAAAAAAAGAAAAATGGCGAACTCACTGGATGATACGGCTGGAGCAATCAAAAGCTCGAAGGCATTATTCCGAGACTTAGAAGTAGTGAGGCTTGGTGCTTGGCGAGGCAAAATAGATTCACCTGGGAAAAAACCAAGGTTGAGAATAGAATTGTCCAAAATACGTTGAGATATCCGCCCAATGAAGGAATAATGAGATCTTTCCCTCGAAGAGTAGGCTCCGCGCATGTTCTATAGCAGTATTGAAAATAGGTGAATCATTTTGCCGACCTTATATATTTCTAGTTGACTTTTCAATTCCTTCACCTCTGCTGAACCTAATATAAAGCCCAATAGGAACGTGCCGTTGCATAAGAAAGAGAGATGCGAGACGTTAGTTGAAGGTGTGTTTCCGCTCCCATCTTGGTCGCATTTATATTCAGCTGCTCTCAGCTGCAGATAGCTGGCGCATTTGCGTTCTTCCCGGTGATCAGTAACTGCGGAAAGTTCACACGTTGCGATGACGCCCGTCAACGCACTTCAATGGCAAAAGCGCTCCAGTCCTATAGACACGAACGGGTGTCGATCGGCGATGAGCGCTTCTGTTCTGAGAGAGTATAGGACAACAGGAGGGTGGGCGCTGCCGTCGCACAACCTGAAACTCCCATTCTTCTGTATCTCCCAGAGTTCTAGCGGCCAGTGCCGATCGATACCATACTGCTAATTAGACAATGGCCTCTATTCCCCCTACTCTTGATCAGTGTACAGCATCGATGTGTGAAACACAAAGAGGGGTGGTACTTTTCCCCGCTGGGGAGGGGGGGAAGGGCGTATGTGCTTGAGGGACCGTTCCTGTGTTGGATTGGGAAAAATCTTCTCGGTTGTTAACTTTCGCATGATTTTTCCTGTCTCATGCACTATATGCCCCCCTCCCCGCTCGATGGAAAATTTTTGAGTGAAAAAATTGGATAATACGGGAAATTGCATGGTAGGTGTTGGGGAAGGGGGGGAGGGGGGAGGAGGGTCGTACTAGACCCACTTTTAGGCGGGAAGGGCTCGTACTGACACCCTCCCTCGGAGGGCGGGGGGGGGGAGGGTCGTTCTGACACCACCATTTCACACGCCACGATGCCATACCCTGGTATCGATACACAAGCGGCCGATCGATTCTCGTCTGCGGCTGCATTCGCGTCTATAGCGTTCGAGCATTCTGCAGTTGTACGCGCGTCATCGCAAAGTATGAAAGCTGTCGACATCGTAATTTCAGGTTGCAGTAAAAAGCTGAGAGACAACCTCTAACAAAAACTGGAATCAGTTCCGTTAAAGCTGTATAGTTTCCAAAACCGTTTCTGAGTAGTTGGCCATATTGGAAATCGTACAAGGAGTACCAGTCGTCTTCAGGTAGATAAACTGTGACTGATTTTGCTCGCTGAATCAAATCAGATATTAGTCTGGGGCTCAGTGATCTGTTTAGCTGGAAAAGGGTTCTGACGTACACCCACTTCATAAACTACAGGAGCGATGAGCATCGATCTTCCCCATAGAAATTGGTAGCTTATATTGTACGTGCTCTTGTCCGTTGGAAACTCGTAGAACAGTGGACGAACAACAGTCGCTCCTTTCAATGATGCAATAAAATGCAAACTAAAAAAATATTTTCAATGTAAGTGTATTATAAGGGATCGCAGATTTGCATATCTTCCATCCATCGTTTCGATCCATTAAAGGTCGGAGATTTAGGAGAGGTCTCATATGTATCACCTAATGTGTTCTGCTTCCCCTGTTTATGAAACGGAAAAAGGAGGGTTAAATTTATCCTGACCTAACAAGGTGAATTATTGCATTCTAGCCGACCGTTGATTACTCTGATGTAACAAGGAAGGCCCCATCCTGTGTAACATCAGCCTACAAAATGAAACTGGTATCGTTTCGTAGGGTATCATATCATATTGGGGACATTAGTCGACTCCCTACGATCCCCTCAAAAGGTGGCTTGATACGACCTCCTCCCCTTTTTACAGTTTTGGTTTCTTGTCTTTTCCAGGGCACGCTGTGCCGCTGGGGAAAGTTTGCAAAATAGCTACGAAGGGTGGTCAAACCCGCGAAAAGTCAACAACCGGAAAAGATTTTTCCCAAAGCAGCAAAAAGGCAAATACGACCACCCTTCTCCCAACAACGAGTAAATACGACCTCCCCCATTGGGGCGTCCGTGAAACAAAAAAAAATCAACTACCAAAAAAATTTTCTCGGATGAAATACGACTCCCCCTCCTCCAGCGACCAAATACGACACCTTCCCCGGTTGGGGAATCTCAACGATGGTGTGCCTCGAAGAGTCAACATGAATGCCTCTCCCCACCCCTCCCCCTGCTCTCCTCCTAAGACAAACCACGCTAAATTTTCGTCTCCGTTTTTCTCTACTCGTTCAGTTACACACTCATCTACACAGATCACGTCATTTATTTTTAGCGGGTCGTGTGAAAGCACACCTACATCTTACCTATACAGGTATGGCAGGTAGCGATAACGAAACAACGTAGCCTTGGTTGTTAGCGCAGCTACGGTAGACCAAACTGCAGGATCTTGCGGTTTATTGCCTTTACCATTATGATTCCTGAAAAAGCTTCCTCACAGGGGCAATAGAAGTTGTTCCACAGAAAAAGCACGTCACCATCAAAAGCGTCTTTAAGCATTCTAAAATTGACTCATTTAATTCATTGGGAATAAATATAAACTACAAAACACAACAAGAGACGATAGCCTGGGGAAATACGAGATTTTTCTGAGTTCCAGAGATTTTTTTGCAGTTTTTTTTGCGTCGAGTGACGAGTTATCTTCCGACATACAAGCTGACACTGTAACCCGTTAATTTGGGGCATTTCCAAAAAGGCGCATGGCTCTCTACGAAGTGGGCGGAGCTTCTTATAGTAGACGGTGCCTGCTCTAGTCCCAAAATGTGAGAACTCTAAAAAAATATCAAAAGGCGGAGCTTGCCGTGTGTGTATAAATGCGCTTCCATGAATACCTCCAGTTTGTGAAGAGTGGATGTGAAATTAACGAGGTGTTATAAAAACTCGAATTTTGCAACAAATTCTTCAAAGACAGTTGGCACGATGATTTGGTGCTCTTCCTGTAATTCAGGGCGCTATATAGTGGGGGAAAATGGCGAAAGAACGGAGTTAAACGGTCAAAATCCCGCGAAGAAAGAGCCTCCGTTCTCAGCAGCTTGCCAATAACCGCTACCGAAGGTACTACGTATGTGTACTCATATATTCATGCAGCATCACGGCCGCTTCATACCAATCCCTTCGCTTCATAATTTGCTTAGCAAATGAATGAATACGAGCGTCAGGAACGGTCGTCCATTTGTGGGCGGGCGGGCGTGGCGGGCGTTTGGGTCGGAATGTTGTGGCTTGATAGGGCCCTTATAAGGGCACCTTCCTTGGAAAAGGCATTATGCAGCGCCTGCTCAGGGTCGCGGAATTCCGTCCTGCCAGGTGTTACTCCTACTCGTCTTGGAGGATTTATCGTGCCTACTGCCTTTAAGAATTGTGCAGTTGCCCATGTGCCGATGCACAGTCCTTCCTCAGAGGTAGATTTTCGTTATTGTTTATGTGCGAAATATTAGGTTGTCCGCAAGGTTCTCAGCGTTTTGTGTTACTATTTTTTGTACATTCATTGCTGATTAAAAACTCATTCTCCCTTGCGTCTCAGTAGTACATCCTGAAGAGAATTTTTTGCGCTATCTGATGGTATAATTGCCGTTTCACCATTGCTTGACCCCCTTTTCCCAAGACTTTTTGAAGCATGTCAAAAGAGCAACTTCGGACGATATTTTTCTTCGACTACAAATTGGGTCAATCCGCAGTCGAGACAGCTCGACAAACAGATGTGGGGGCCCAATAGTGTTGGAGAAAGCACCGTGCGACAATGGTTCGACAAATTTCGTTCTGGAGATTTCAGCCTTGAAGATGAACCTCGTAGCGGTCGACCTAAAGCAATACGAGGATTTGAAGGCGTTTGTGGAGGCTGACCCATCCCAAACAGTTCGAGAGATTGCAGAAAAGCTAGGCGTTGGCAAATCCACTGTTGCGGATGGTCTGAAACGCATTGGGAAGGTGAAAAAACTCGACAAGTGGGTGCCCCACAATTTGAGTGACCGGCAGAAATTGGCACGTCTCGAGGTTTCTTCTTCACTGCTTTTGCGCAACAGAAACGACCCTTTTTGGACCGAATTGTCACCTGTGATGAAAAGTGGATCATGTATGATAACAGGAGACGTTCCGGACAGTGGTTGGATGCCGACGAACCACCGAGGCAATTTCCAAAGCCGAATCCTCACGAAAAAAGGTTACAGTGTGGTGGTCATCGGCTGGTGTGATCCACTATAACTTTTTGTCACCAGGCCAAACCATCACAGCAGAGTCCTACTGTGAAGAAATCGACGAAATGTACCGAAAATTGCGTCAGCTGCAGCCAGCACTTGTCAACAGAAAGGGTCCGATTCTTTTGCATGACAACGCCCGCCCACACGTTTCACAAATCACTATCCACCAGCCGGCTTCGCCGGCGCGCCTCCTTTTGAGATACAAAACGGCTCCGGCTATTTTATTTATTTTTTTTTTCAAAACGGCTATTTTCAACACTATTATGGTGTATGGAATGGTAAAAAGGAGCGTTGATCAAGTGGACAGATGAGAGAAAAGCCGGGTATTAGTCGAGCATTTGATCATACGAATGCAGGCAGGCGCGATGGACCACGCCCCGCAAAGCCGGGCCGTATCACAGAGGAGGCCTGGAGTGGAACCGCTTGAAGAGACCTTAGGGCTGGCCATGCCCACCTCGAACCTTTTCCGGATTTTTAAAATTGGCCCTGCCGATCTCGCCGCGCGCTCCTCCCACAGCGGATGTGCCTTACGCTTGTGAACCGATGACCCCTTGCTGATCTCAAACTACTTTTTCGGTGTCTGAAGTGTTCTAAAATCGTTTAGGGTTTTTTCGATTTGGCTCCGCCCACCTCGCCGCACGTTCCGCTTACAACGTATGCCTCGCGCTTCTCAACCGAAGACCCTCTTGAACTATTTTTTCCCGGTGTCTGGAGTGCTTTGGAAGCGTTTTACGGATTTTTCAGACTGGCTCCGCCCACCTCGGCGCACGCTCCGCCCACAATGCGAACGTCCTCGCGCTTCTCAACCGAAGACCCTCTTGAACTTCTTTTCCCGGTGTCTGGAGTGCTTTGGAAGCGTTTTATGGATCACGCTCCGCCCACAGCGGATGTACCTCACACTTGTGAACCGATGACCCCTCGCTGATCTTAAACTATTTTTCCCGGTGTCTGGAGTGCTCTGGAAGCGTTTTACGAATTTTTTAGGTTGGCTCCGCCCACCTCGGCGCACGCTCCGCCCACAATGCGAGTGCCTCGCGCTTCTCAACCGAAGACCCCTCGCTGATCTTAAACTATTTTTTCCCGGTGTCTGGAGTGCTCTGGAAGCGTTTTACGAATTTTTTAGATTGGCTCCGCCCACCTCGGCGCACGCTCCGCCCACAATGCGAGTGCCTCGCAAATTCCTGCATGTGATCAGTCGGGGGCCCATAATCCACTTTTTTGCCATCTGTAGTGCTTTAGGACCAAACTACGACTTTTTATACTGTTCCTCGTGCTCAAATGCACGCCCCGCCCACTGTAGGCGGGCCTCAGCACGCCGTAAACATGGTGGACTCTTGCCAGACGTTAATCTTCGTCATGGACTTTTCTGCGATCCCTAAACATTTTCGGGGACCGAGTTACCGACCTTTGTGGGAAGCGCCGCCCATCTCAAGTACGCCCCGCCCATTTCGGGTGTCTCCTCCTCCATTTGGCGTGCCAACCCAGTGCTAACCTAATTCCACTTTTTCCAGTCTCCGAAGTGCTTTGTAGCCAAGTTATGGGGATTTTTCAGTGACACGGGAAGCGCCGCCCATCTCAAGTACGCCCGCCCATTTCGAGTGTATCTCCTCTGTTTGGTCGATCAGGCCTCTGTTAACTTCACTGCACTGTTTCCTCATCTCAGGACTGCTCTGGATTATGACTTTTCTTCAGTGACAATCGCATAAATTTAGACGCGACGCCCGCCCACGTGTGGGCGGAGCTTACCATAGCGTGACAATGCGCGCGTGCTATACAGGTTTTGTCCCATGACTCCTAATGCCATCCGCCAGCCCTGGCCACCCGACCCCGCCAAGGCTCTTCTTCAGGCGCTATGAATTTCGTGACAGACAGACAGACGCACACACACACACACACACCCACACACACACACGGACATAGTCGATTAATTAGTAGGATAAATTGAACGAATTGGGGGTTGAAGTTCTACCTCACCCGCCATATTCTCCAGACCTTTCACCAACCGACTATCACCTTTTCAAACATTTTCAGAACTTCCTTGCTGGAAAATACTTCATCAATCAGGACCAGGCAAAAAAGCCTTCGTGGATTCTTCTCGACCACCCAGTTTTTTCTTTGATGGGATTTATCGACTGGTGTCACATTGGCAAAAGTGTGCTGATTCGAACGGTTATTTCGATTAAATCCGATGAGTATTAAGAAAGTTATGATCGTTTAAAGTGAAACACTCAAAACGCTGAGAACTTTCCGGACAACC